GAGTTTGATTGCCTCTTCGGTCCAATTTTTGCATGTATATTTGAGGCAGTTGTAGTAGTTTTAAGGGCACATTATAAGCTCTGCACATAACATTGTATAATCAGTAAGTCAAATGTTTGGAACTGTTAGAGAAAAGGAATTGAGATTAAAATAAAAATAGAAAATCAACCTCATCGAGAGTGATGAGCTCCATGGAAGTTTGTATGGAGAAGCTGTATCTATTATGATTTTAATATGTATGATTGAAAACTTTTCTATTTTACTATTATGAAATAAATATATATAAATATACACAGTCATCCCTCCCCGTTTGTGGGGGATCTGTTCTGGACCCCCCTCCTGCGAACAGGAAAAATGCGGATATTCAAGCCCCATTTATTTTAATGGCGGCACGCGCCTATGTGTGCTGCTGCTGCACACGCCACAAACAAACGCACCATTTTGTCCCTCTTGACTTGCTGTCTGCGAAGGATCAAAACCACAGATGGCAAGTCCGCGAACCAGGAGGGACAAGTGTATATTAAAAAGGGCAAATGGGGGTCATTTCCAGTAGTGGATCTCTTTGCTGGTCATACAACAGCCTGCCATTTTTGGTTTCTTGGCCATGCAAATGATTAAATTATGCAGAGTATGACTGTATTTCTTGTTGTTGTCTGCTTTCAAGTCATTATCAACTTATGGAGACCCTACCATGAGGTTTTCTGGGGCTGAGCATCTATGACTGACCCAAGAACACCTAGTGTGTTTCCATAGCTGAGCAGGGAATCAAACCCTGATCTACAAAGTCATAGTCCAATGCTCAAACCACTACACCGTGTTGACTCTCATTATATGTACTGTAGGATCTTATGTTTGGTGCCTCAGCTTTAATGCCACACTAGATATCTGGAAGAAGTGCTTTGAAAAATATGTATAATGTATAATGGAAAAACCTCTTGCCATTTGCAGGTCTTGGGTAATTTCAACAGCATACATCACTCTGTATTGGTGTTACTGTGGGGCAAGACCCCAGCAGGAAGGGACCTCCACTCAGGAAGTACATGAGCATTGTCCTACCAGAGAGATCAGATTGGAATCTCTCTTTGGCCATGGGATGTGTCCACAATACACAGTCTGAGCAGTTTGATACCACCTTAACTGACATGGTTCCTTCCTATGGTATCTTGAAATTTGTAGTTCAGGGATAGACTTAGAATTCTTTAACAGAAATCTTTAGTGCTGCAGTTTAGGAGTGTAGAGTAGACCCCCCTAGTAGAAGAATCTAAATAACTGACTAGATCACAAATCCCAGAACTCCCTAGGATAGAACAATGGCAGTTAAAGTGATATCACACTGGTAGAATTGTACAGTGTGGCTGGCCTCGGACAATTCACCATCTTTCAGTCTCTTATCCTCCTCTTTTACGGAAGGAATCAAAATGACCTGTTCCTACAGAAATTAACTCCTACTATGACCACCACCGTCTCAGCCACAGGTGTGCTTTCCTTCTCCTGGGCATTTCTAGGTTGCCCAGCAGCAAAATTGCCATCCCATTTCTGCTTCTATAAGGCTGGCCCTGTCCATGCATCCAAGCTCTGCATTCATTAACTCATTCTGCTGAAACAAGGCAAATGGGATGGGGGGGGGGGGAAAATGAAATGCCTGAGCTGGCATTAAGGGTCTCTCTCTCTCTCCCCCAGGCATGAGCATCAGTATGAAACCACAATGTCCTGGGAAGGGGTAGGAGATAACCAGATGAAGGGGTTGTCTTCAAGTCACTGCTAAAGCAAAGGAAGGTTTGGGAAAGGAGGTAGGGAAGAGGGAAGCATGGGAGAGAGGAGTCAGATGCAAAGAACTCTCTCTTATCTCATACCTGGGTCTGGATGCGGTTGAGGCCCCGGAACCACAGGATCTGGCCACGGCGCAGCTCCCGTTCAGCATGGTCAATTTCCTCCTCATCCTCTGCCAATTCCTCGTCGGTGATTTCATCCTTGCCAGGGCCGTGCCCTGCCTCCTTCAAGCATTTTAAGTGACTTGTGGGGATGGTGGCAATGACCTGCAGAAGGGAAGAGAAGCATCTGTTATACATCTCAGTCTTTCTCTATATGGTGAAGGATCATTTGCACAGCTTGAAAAGGTTACCATTTTTGGAACTGAAAAAGTTAATACACAATCCTCCTCCAAATTGTCTGTGCTGGCTGTGGAATTCTGGGAGCTGTAGTCAAAAAAATGAGCCTTTCCAAGATGTGATACTACATTTCATGGAATAAAATTTGATAGCAGAGAGACAACTGTGAATAAACAGATTAGAACAAACATGTCCATCTTTGGGACAGCTCAAAGGTGTTGATGAATGGAGGACAGGGAAGATGTGTTCTGATCTATGATGTTAATGCTTCCATTTTGTAAAAAGGATATGAAAGCTGGCCTCTGAGAACCATTCAGTTGTCTCACTTTGAAACTTTCCAGGTGGATCTATTCCTGCTGCAGAAATAAACTTTCCCCACACACCCCTTGCTCACTATTTCGTCTGCTAATTTGGGCTGTCTCTGTTGGGCAACAGATCTCACTCCTGTGAGACAACATTGTTGTTTACTATCTAAAAAAAGCAAAACAGCAATCTTGCATAAAACACACACTTAGCTAGTTGAAAGCAGTTCTTTCTATATTGAAAGCTGTACAGTTTGCCCGGTAAACTGAGCATTTCTCAGGAGAAGCTATGTAGCTTCTGTAAGACTGCAGTTTTCTGGGGAAGCTGGACAGGTGTCATAGAAAAACTGTAGAGTTTTCTGTCACTGCAGGGAAAAAAATCTCAAGTGATTCAAAACTACAGGTCAAAAATTTGCTTCATTGTTCTCAACATCTGTCAGGAGCTGGAGAAATCAAGATTTAGCATCCCTACCCTTGCCTGTTGAGTCCAGGACATTATCTGCACAATATTTGCAGTCCAGGGCATATCTGCACAAAATACACACAAGGATACTTGTGCAGAAAACAGTATTATTTCTGTGCAGGTAATGTTTCCTGAATAGAAAATGCTTTTTTCAATGCATAATGTGCAAATGTTGCACAGAGTGAGTCCCCAACTATAGCATTTTCTATGTCAATAATATTTATGCAGAAACATTATTTTCTGTGCATAAAATTTTGTTTCCTGTGAAAAAGAGCATGTATGAATTTTGCACAAAGTAAGTCTCGAATTGTGACTATTCTTTGAAAACTGCTGTTTTCAAAAACCTTCTAGCAACAGGAAGAACATTTGTAAAATTACTGCTTGCTTACTTTGAGAATGAAATTAGCAAAGAATTACATCCTCAGAAGGAATGCAGTCTTTTCCCCAGCTGTCATTTCTCTGCTCTATATTATTCCCTCAAGGTCCAAATCTAAAAGCAGCTTTTTCTCAGTTCAGAATTTGCCTGGTTCTATGTTATAGTTATAAGCAACACTTCTCAGTATTTTTTTTAAAATCATTTTTACATTTTTAGCTCTTAAGATTGTGGATTTATTTTTAAGATGGTATAGGCAATATTGGAATTTCACACCCCAGAGCAAGATGCAATGAACAGAATATCTGAAGTGGGAAAGAGATACGTAGATCTTTACCCATTTTTGTTGCTGCCTGTCTAGAAGTCGATTCTGACTTATTGGGACCCTAACATGACTCTGGAAAACAGGATTCAAATTCCTGCTTGGCCATGAAACCCCACTGGGTAACCTTGAGCAAGTCACACTCTCTCAGCCTCAGAGAATGGCAATAGCAAACCCCTCTGAAAAAAAATCTTGACAAGAAAACCCTGTGATACATTCATCTTAGCATCACCATAAGCCAGAAATGACTTGAAGAATTAAATGAAAGAATGGTTAAGTTACTTATATGTCCCAAACAACAATGGGAGAAAAAAGTATATTTGGATTAATAAATTAAGTAGATAATACAAAAATTATATGAAATTAATAGTTGTAGGAAAGTGGTGTAAAAAGTATATTCTTTCTTGTTACATTTGTAAAAATGTAAATATATAAGAGAATCAGAACTAGTAAAAAGAAGTTATTAAATGAAATATTGGTAACAGAGGGGAATGAAAATAATGTTAATAACAAAATGATATGATACAGTTGTAATTATGTATATTATTTATATATGGAAAGGATAAGAAAGTTAGATGAAAATCAAAACTATTCAAGAGTTAGAGGAAAGGAAGTCATTTTAATTTTGTGTAGTGTTTTGTATTTTTTGCTTATTTGTGATGTATTTAATGATTGGTATGTAAGGTTTAGTATGTTTGTAAAGATTAGCATGTTTGTAAAGACTAACACGGCTATATCTTTGAATTCTACCACCCTGTAAAGTTTATATTTGTTTTATGTGTGTGTGTATTGTCTCCTCTTCTGCTCTCTTCTCTGCTGAGTTGAATGCAAACTATTTTTGTGCTTTGAACTCAGTTTGTAGCAATTGAAGTGAACTAAGGACTTCTTCTGCAATGTATAGACTGGAGACTTGATTTCCAAAAATGTAAACATGAGTAAACATCAGTAAGTAAAATTTGGTATCCAGTCCATCCCACAACTGTTCTGAATATATTGGAAGTCATGGGATATATATAGGTTTTAATATAACCTGCTTTACATTCTTTACACAGTGCAGCCCTAAAAACCATCCCTAAATTGATGGCTAGGGACTTCTGCTCCAGTTACTTCCCATTTGTTGTTGTGTGTCTTCAAGGCATTTCTGAACTGGACCTCCTCTGGTACCTCTGACCAAACTACAAATCCCAACATTCCATGGGATGCACTCATGGCAAAGTGGAATTATAGTGCTATATAACTGGGTCCTAGATTTCCCTTTGCACACACAACTATTACTAAGAAACGCCTTGCATTCGTGGTTCCCAAGATATATAGTAAGGCATATTTAAATCTAAATTTAAGATATGGCAAGATTTGTTCAAAGGGGGTTGCCTTTGCCTTCCTTTGAGACTAAAAGAGTGTGACTTGTCCAAGGTCACTCAATGGGGTTCCACAGCCAAGCAGGGATTTGAACCCTGATCTCCAGAGTCTTAGTCCAACACAGAAGCCACTATGCCATGATGGCTCCTTACTTCCCATACCAACACAGATTATTTATTTATTTATTTATTTATTTAAAGGATCTATATCTACTCTTTCATCAAAAAGGCACCCATGTTATCAGAACATTTCAAAAATGTTCCTGGATATTTATTCTCCTATCAAAAGGTTCATGAGGGATAACTTCTCCAGTCCATATAATCCTGACATCTATATTGTGTTAAAAGTGATTTTTTTAAAAGGAGGAAACGTTCCAAATACAGAGTTCCAAATATTCCAAACACACATTATTGTCCTACCAGTTTTTATTAGCCTTCCCTGTACTAGAAGATACATGGGTTAAAAAGGGGAAAAATCTCTAAAACTCATAAACTTAGAAAAATTGGTTTGAAAACACAACTGGTCTGAGATTGCAAAAATAATAAAAAAATTATTCCACCAGTGAGTATTTCTGTAGCTTCTAATCTGAATTTGTGTTCTTGATTCATCGATTGAAGAGTATAATTCTTCTCTGCTGGGTGATCAAAAGCCAGGACTAGGGGCCATTTCCTGCTGGATAGTTAGAGCACTATGAGTCCATTTTAACTGCCATGGCAACATCCAATGGAGTCCTGGAATTGGCCCTTGAGGGAGGGGCCTCTGACCAAACTACAAGTCCCAGGATTCTACGGACTGTACCCATGTCAAAGTGGAATTATGCTGCTATATGACTGGGTCTTAGAATTCCCTTTGCATATACAACTATTACTAAAAAATGCATTGTGTTGTGGTTCCCAAGATATGTCATAAGGCGTAAAGGTAAAGGTATTTCCCATTGACAAGGTTGTCAAGTCGTGTCCGACTATAGGGTGTGGTGCTCATCTCCGTTACTAAGGCAAAGAGCCAGCATTGTTCAAAGACGAATCTGGTGATCATGTGGCCAGCATGATTGCACAGAACGCTGTTTACCTTCCCACCGAAGTGGTACCTATCTATCTACTTGCATTTGCATGCTTTCGATCTGCTAGGTTTGCAGAAGCTGGGACTAGTGACAGGAGCTCATGCCATCATGCAGCACCTGGACCTTGAAATGCCAACCTGCTGATCTTGCAATCAACAGTCAGTGTCTTAACCACTTGAGCCACCACATCCCTGTAGTAGTAAGGCATACTTAAATCCAAATTTAATGTGTGTATGGGTCCATGGGTGGGTTTAAAGATGAATAAGTTGGAATAGGATTTTCTTACCTGTCCCCAGACCAGCTCCCCGAAGCCTACGAAGAGACACCAGAGCCATTGCTGTGCATTCAGTGGAGAACAGCTGAATGGCTTTCCTCCAAACTGTACAATGACAATCTGTGGATGGAGAGGAATAGTGACACAGTGAGAAAAACCAGTGGCAAGGGGTTCATGTTCCTTAATGAATGACTGTATCCACATTATCTTGAAAGGATGGGCTGGCTGCCGTATCTTCCATAATATCATCATCCAGTGAAAAGATGGATCACATTAAAGGTGAAGTGTTAGAGGATAAGACACAAGGAACAAATGCAAAGCAACTCTTGAGAGGTTCAAGAATGATCAGAGGGGAGGGATGGAAGGTGCCACACAGATTCAAGCAAGACCAGAAGAAAAAGTGAAAGCAAAGATCTCAGGTGCTTCAGGGCAAGGAGAGCCAGAGGTCTGAGGGGTCTGTGAAGATGAAGAGCTTTCTCTCTCAGTGTGCAATTTTACTGCAGAAATAATGCAGACACCATTTTAACTGCCATGGCTCCATAAGACAGAATCTTTTTCAGAATCAGGATTTGTACTTTGGTGAGGGACCAGAGCTCTTTGGCAGAGAAGGCTAAAGACCTTGTATGATGACAAATACCAGGATTCCATAAGATGGAGCTATAACACTTATTTATTTAAACAAATAATGGTGTCAAACTCCATTATTGCTACAGTGTAGGTGCACCTTCAGAGAGGAAGATGAAGTGACCTAAGGCAGAGCCATTAAAAAAGCTTGCCAAGAGCTGATCCCTTTTTCCTTTCCAAGGGCTGCTGGGAAATAGGGACCGGGGCAATCCAAGTTTATCTATTCCTCTTAGCAGAAATTAAGCCAGATACATAAAACTGCAGTTGCACCTCTATTTTCTTGGTTAATCTTGCTTCTCCTTTGTTTCCTCTCCTTTAAAAAATGAAGACTGTAAGCTCACAGGGGCAGAGAGCAGTCTGTTTTGCCATACAAAGTGAATGACATGATGATGATGATGATGATTTTGCCATATAAAGTGAATGACATGATAACAATGACAATAGAAGTAGAAATATCAATACTGGCTTGCATCCTGTTCAGCAGTTATGAGAATGTAAACTAGATTTACAATCCCATAACTTTTAGGATTCACACTTATGGTTGTTAACAACCTCAAAAACTATTTTTTCTGCCAGGTAGTGCCCCAGCTGAATGGTTTCTGAGCTGCTGCATATTGGGATGCTGGGAAATGATAACTGCAGCATTTTCCTGATCACAAAGTGCCTTAAGACAAGCAGTTGAGGCAGAAACCAGGGGATCTCTCCAGCTGCCAGTTCTCAATGTGCCCTGCAACCAGATGGGTGCTCAAGACATCATTTCCCAACATCACAATCTGAGAACCTTAAAATCCCTTTGGTTGGGACACTGCCTGGCTGAAAAAGTAGACTGAGGAGGCACTTTCAGATGTAGCAATGATGGTGGGACTCTGTCATTGTAGCTACGTCTGGTGATGCAGGAACTTGATCATTCTTTGGGCTCATTATACATTTGGGGTAAAAGTCCAAATGGACCCCACACCTCTTCTGCCCCACCCCTGACATATATTTTCTCCAAAGGCTAATAATAATAATAATAATAATAATAATAATAATAATAATAATAATAATAATAATAATAATAATAATAATTTATTTGTATACCGCCCCTCTGAGAAGAATCGGGGCGGCTAACAGCAATTTAAAATTACAAACAATATTACTCCACATAGACCCCAAAACCCACCCACCCCTTAAAAAAATATTAAACCAAGGAACTATTAAAACATCTAGTTAAAAAGACATAGAATAAAAACTGACTACAAATAGCAATATAATAAAACATACGGAGCAGCGGGAACATCCAAATTGTGAGTGGGTGGGATAAGAATTCTCTGCACCTATTTTCTCTGAAGGCAGGTAACCTGTATCTGCTTTCTCCTCAGTTGTTGTGGTCCACTGCCACCACTTTGCACCCAGAGGACAGATAGAGCCATTTACTGCAATGTCTGGGCCAATTACCCTCCTGAAATGACTATTATTAAAGGTTTTTCCTCTTCAGTCTAGGTCAGAATGAGGCACTGGGTGCCCTGCAAGTGGGGAAAAAAACTTCTGAAAGGTTACAGAAAGGTTTTTCCTGCTTGTGAAGTGCCTTGAGCTCCATTATGACCTCAAACCAAGGAGGGAAAAACCTTTAACAACTGTTGTTCCAATGAAGAACTGGCCTGGATACTGAAGAAAATGATGGCAGTCCAGATACTGAAGGAAATGGTGGACCCAGATCCAGTGCAAGTCTATTGTTCAGAGTCTGGAAACACCAGAGTTTCCAGCCAACTGCACAGCTAACTGTGAGTTTTTAAAACCTGGGTTTGAGATGTTATACCCTGAATTTGCTGCTCACTGGGCCATGCTTTGTGTGTCCTAATTGACCAGATTTGGGTGTGTGTGAGGGAAAAATGCTGTGCCTTGTGTGGCCTGATCATGTCAGACTCAAGGGATAGTCAGTTTTCCCCCTCCTATAGGCAAAGCCTTTGTACAATAATATAAGCAGGGCCTCATTTAACAGAAACAGACTCTGAGTCATGGGACCCATCCATTTAGGTGTATATACGCCAATTTTTTCCCACCCAAATATTCCTCCAATCCCCCTTCCACATGCCAGTCATGTTTGGCTTTACATGCCCATTTCCTCAAGGTTTGTACCTGGATGCCGAAGGTGCCCAGGACAATGCTGCAGAATATGGGATTGCCAAAAATGCCATCAAAGACATTGCGTTCACCGTGGATTTTGCGGGCATTGATCTCATTGAAGAGCTGCATCATGACAAAGGTATTGAAGATGATGGTGTAGTGCTCTGAAGGTGGGGAGTGCAGGGGGGCGTTGCGGCCACTGTCGATGTCAAAGAAAACTTCGCCTGTGGGTGGGGAAGGGGGTGGTGGAATAAAACAGCACATCATGAAAGGGGTATCAGACCAGAAAACCAGATACCTTGCCCTCCACCCAACTGGAATTGGACTGATGGGCTCTAGCCCAGCATGCCCTGCCAATTCCAGGTCAGAGTCATTGGAAACCTACCCACAAAGAGGAGGGTAAAGATGATGATGAGCTGGTACACGGCATGGCCCAAAATATTCTTCATCATGGTGCGGGAAATGAGGGGTTTGTTGCGTCCGTATGGCTTGCGCAGCAGTAGGGCCTCTGTGGGGGGCTCGGTGGCAAGGGCCAGAGAGGCAAAAGTGTCCATAATCAGGTTCACCCAGAGCATTTGGACAGCCTTAAGGGGAGAGTCCTGGAAGAGAAGTGGAGAGGAAGGGGCATTAGGGCACCAAAAGATCCAACAACCAATTGATATGGAAGAGAGTGAAACAGGAACCTTCCTCTCCCTGTATTCCAAACCAGGAAGTCATGGTGTTTTCTGAAATATGCACATTTTCAACCATTATCAGCTGTGAACCAACTCATATAGCTCTATTTATTTATTTTTTACATGTTGAAGTCAATGTGAATTGCAGAAAACAGTACAAGCTTAAAGCAGAGCAATAAATGATGTCCCTTTCCAGTAGTACCAAGAACCAACCAAGTTACTTTTACACACAGTAGAGAGAAAACCCAACAAGTACCTTTCCTTCATTTCTTTGGCAGCAGAAATACATAAAGAACTAAGTCCGGAATCTTGTATGGGAGTGACGTCTTTGCATGTGGACTTAACTATGTGGGAATTAGAATTGGTCAGTTTTGTAATATCCATATCCAGTAGATGACTGCCTCTTAC